TTTTTATCAACCTGTTAATAACATCTGTCCTTCACTTGTTTTTGCCATACAGATGCTGCTGCTAGCAGTGATCAGATCACCTGTGTTATTGTATTTAAGCACATTCAGTACAGCATGTGACTGCTAAATGTGGCTATGACGAGTACTGAGAACAGTAGCAAGTAGAAGGCAGGCAGAGTATTTTCTGTTTTCAGTCTCTGATCGTGAAAATACGTGAGTTCATCAAAGATGTGAAGAACAGAGATGCTGTTCTGGGGGTGGGGGGTAAAACTGAAACTATTCCAGGTATTCAGTGGGAATGTGATGCTATATAGGGTGAAGAAGCAACTTTTTCATGGTCTCAGTTTTTGACAGCTTTGTTTTTCTGAGAGAGGTTGTTTCTCTGTCAGCCTCCCTTCTGTGGCTACTGAGAGCTGTAGTGGAAAGAACAAAGGGAAATCAAATGCTGCCTTAATCATAAAACATGGTGCACTTTAATGAAATAGTATGTGGTTGAAGATCAAAACTATTTTTCCAAGCTGATAGCTTTTTTCAATTAGGCTCAGTACAGGATCAAACACAAAATATCTATGTCAGAGGAGATAGAAATACATTCTCCTTAGTTTCTAAGGCAGCCTCGTAAGAAGTGATATTTTCTGGTTTTGTTTGGAAAGTATTTTATAGCTGTCCTCAAATAAGTTACTCCTCTTGTGTTGAAAAAGCTTATCTAGCTAAATACCTCCTGATTCATAATGATGCAGTGTCCTTGGGATTGCTGTTATACCTCTAGGTATAAAATCAGATTTCATTTACAGTTTCATCTGTTCTGTATTACAGCCAGTCTTTATCAAGCTGGTGTCAGTCACTCCAAATCGTTTAGAAACCAGATCTTAAATTCCAGTCAGTGAGCAGCTATCACCTGTAGTGCACACTGCTGTTAGGGAACAGATTTTCTAACTATCTGATGAGAAAAACCTATGCAAAACAGAATGCCTAACAGAAAGAGGCAATCATATTGGATTGAATTCCAATCCTATTAGATGTTAACTAAAAAAAAAAAGTCACAGAGAACTGAGTGACTGGGAAAACGTTAATGACGTTTGCTTGCTATCGCTGTCCATCCACTTTTGTACTTTGTTGTTTTGCTATGAAGGCTGGCTTGGTGTCTTTGCAGTGAAAGAGATTTGGGTTTGCCTTACTTAGACTTCAGACCTTATTGAGGGGAGTTGTCTGATATGGTGATTCCTGTCTACTTTACTCAGCAACATTAGTATAGATTTGTCCTGGTAAGAACCACAATTTCTACCTGATGCCCTAACCCTTGAGCTGCGTGTAAAGAACAAGTATTTGCCATTTTAACCTGCCTTTGATACATATTTGACAAAATGTTGCTGGTTCTTTTTCTAATAGGAAAGAGAAACTCTCCAGAAGCAGCTGGATGAGGCAAACAGAGAAGCACAAAAATACCGTCAGCAGCTTCTGAAGAAAGAGCAAGAAGCAGAGGCCTATCGGCAGAAGTTAGAGGCAATGAACCGCCTCCAGACTAATAAAGAAGCTGTTTAATAAAAAAAGAACATACTGCAAAGCCTGTTACTTTCAAAAACCTGCAGTACAATCTTGAACTGTTCTCTGTATAGGTGCAGACACAGGATTACATGATAGAGAAGATGCTACAAGTCGATAACTGGACTTAAGCCGTGAGCTCTGATGAATTTCTTGTAACATAAAAACTCTGAATTTAGAAATTGTGAAAAGTATTTAAAATGAAATACTGTAAATAGTTGTTTTTTTTACAGTTTCAAAATGAGTTGATAAATCTTTTTGAAGGGATCCAGAAACACGAAGCCAATGTTTTTGTGAAATTTTTGATTTTAATATGAATCTAACTTCTGAAAAAACAGAACAGTTTTAAGGGTGATGCTGATTCATCTGACAACTTGAAAATGAATTATATGACAAAAGGAATTAACAGTTATTTCTACATGGTAACAACTTCTCTGAATAAGACATTTCCAGGTGGAAATCTTTGTACAGCTTTAAGTAGTTGTCTCAGATTCTCTGAAAACCATTTTTTGGGTTTGTTGTTTTTGTTTTTGTTTTTTTAGGCGGTGAAATTTTTATATTTAATTTCAGATATATCCAAGTAGATTTACATGTATATGAAGCTAATATTTTTTAAACTTTTTGGTTTGTACATATGCTGCATGTTTTTATAATTTCTACGCATACAACTTGCATAGGTATTTTTCAGCAAAGAGGAGGGCAAATTATGAGAGCAATGTTTAGCCTATAGGTCATTGGAAGTAAGCTAGCAGCTGGTTTTATTGTGGAAGATACGTTTCTTGAAGAATGTAATTTGTAATTAAAAAAAACAAAACCAAAATCTTAATTTTCATAAGAGATGATTTAAAGTTTGACGGTGGAGGCATTGCAGCTTCACTTTGGGCATCTTGCAGTTTTCAGAGACAAACGTTTTAAAGTTCAGAAATGAATAGCAAACAATGTCTCCACTGGAACACAACTAGTTATTTTAGAGTATTCTTACTGATCTGTTTTCCCCAATAGCCTTGAAATCATTTCAGTGATACTTTTTTTTTCTAAACAGACTTTTGCATTTTAATTATGCAATTGGTCAAGTAATTTTTTTATGTTTTAGTGATGCTGCTCTTACCCGGCATCATTGTTCTTCACTGTGATACTGTGTTTGTGTGCGTCTGTGCAGTGATACGTTACGCTTAGGATTTATATAGCACATTACATCTTCAGAGCATCGCAAAATCTTTTAAAGAACCCTTACTGTACTGCCTGAGGCAGGTAAGTGAGTGTTATTATCTCAGTTTTATAACTGGTATAAGCACGACACAGGGAGTATGAAACAATCGGTCTGAGACCACAAGAATCTGTGGTAGACCTGGCAAGAGATCTCAGGAGTTCCTGGCTTCTGGTCCTGTGCTTAGACTGAGCTGCCTTAAGATTGTTCAGTGCTGTGTTACATTAAATTTTAAACTACTGTGCAGGTTCCTTTTTTTTTTTTTTTTGTTTTTGTAAGATAAAACTCTTTGTGCTTTGCTTTGTTGTTCCATGTTTCACTGCTTTTATGGAATTGTTTATATAAAGTTAAGCAAAAAGTCTAGTTTACCTATACTGTATACAGGATGATTACCCTTAAAACTGTACTCTGGTCTACTTTTTCTATTTTACAATTAAATATCTTTTCCACATATATGTAGTGGGGAATCAATTCTATTTCTGTTGTTTTGTATGCGTGCTGGAAGGTCAAAACTGGTATGTTACATCTTTAGAAAAAATTGAAAAAATAGTGTTCATCTTAGAAAATCAGTTCTTGGAGATAGGAGGGAAGAGTGGGAAAAGAATTGCTTTATAGCATAGGAAGTAAATCTTCCTCCTTCAAACTCGTGATGACTGAGTTTGCGGAATTGTTCTGGAAAAAACCCTAACATGGGTATGAATCTGGAATATTGGATCCCATTTGGAAAATCTGATCCCAAAATAGTGAAGAGGTCGTAGCAATCGAAAATTTGTGCTGGTCGTTTTTAATAGGGTTGCTTTGCAAGTTATATAATTGTACTCAATTTAGTATTGCAACTTGAAGCAAGCCTTCAGCAGTGACTGATTGGATATTACTGTATTGTAGGCTTTTCTTGAAAACTAACTTCTCCGCCATTAGCAAACGCAGGAACAAGTTAATCAACTCAAAAGTGCTGGTTGGGCGTTGCTCCAACTGAATTATTCCATGATGAAAATAATGTTTGTGTCCTCACATCCCACAAACTTAACTACTGTTTAATCTCTCTTAACTCTTAATAATGATAAGAATTTCACCATCAGCCTGAGTGGTGATAGTGGTAATGTTCACATCCACATGGGGAATTTCCCACGGTTCTGACAGCGCTGACCTTTGCAGCAAACAATGAAAAGAACGTTTTTCTATTCGTTCTGCTTCCTGTGGGCAAATATTCTATTCCTTGCGGTCTGTAGCAAACCCTCGCAACCCTTCCAGGTGCAGGGTAGCTAAAACAAAACCAGATTTATCTCCAGTAATATTTACCCTACCTGTAATCCGTTATCGCCCATCTTATTCTGGCTCCAAACAGGACCTGTTTATTCTTTTCCCTACTGAATGAAAAGCCAACCTCGTCAAACTGTCAGTTTGAGCAAAAGACATAGAATATATGTCACATGGAGTATTTATTGTGTAGTTCAGCTCTGAAAACATTGTTAGAAGTATTGGTTCTTATTTGCTGTTCCAAATTGAAATCATAATTGTAATTAGCTGCCAGCTTTCTTTGATCAGACTTGCTTCCTGTTGAAAATAATGTATTTATTACTCATAATGACCTACAGTCACGGTTTTTGATCACTAGGCTCTTTTTGACTTGATCCTGCCAGCTCCTTCTCATCTCCTTTGTTCCCCTTTATGAAAGCAGTAACAGTACAGGCAAGAGATGTTCCGAAATTCATGTGAAGTACTGGGAGTATCTTAATTTTTCTTTTCCTGATGATGATGATGTTTCCTGAGGAATGAGAGAGAAAATAAGCGACTATGCATATGGTACATTTGTGCGTGCTCTTCTTGCACTTCTTTTAGTGCCTTTATCTTTTTTTTTTTTTAATTTCAGTATATTAATCTGATGTGTGTATCGGCATCTTTATCTCTGAAACAGCTCTTTCTCAATTATCTAATCGCAGCATGAACTCGGAAAGGTTCTTACAATGTTCTACAGAAAATATGCTGCAGGAAGAAGCTGTTACAGCTTTTTAGAATGATGGAAGGATTCAGGCTGAATTGAGCTGCTCTGAGAGCTGGTTCCTTTCCATATGACAAGAACATGGGAACTGCTGTGATGTGTCAGACTAAAGGTCTGCCCAGCTGGCACCTTGTGCCCAGCACTGACCAGCCACAAGCAGAAGCCTGGGAAATAGCAAAAATAGGAGTGTATTATCCTACATAATCATTTCTCTTTCTAGAGCTCAGTCATTTAGACTATTAAGATGTTTAAGTCCTACTTCTCTTTTTTCCCAGGACTGCCTGATATCAGTGTAGAGCAAATCAGTTGCTTCTGCTGAAGACGGTTAGCGCTCCACATCGAAGTGTCAAAGATTCTGCTGCCAAAGACAGGTCAGGATGTGTTTTCAGTTCTAAATGAAACTGGAACAACAGGGACTCTGGCTGTTCTTTCAAACTGAAAATATAGGTAGAGGGCTTGAAGGAATTCTGGAAATATATGGCCAAGTCTCAGTGCTTATGCGTACTATGTGTGAGAAAAGCAAGCATGGTGTGCAAAGCTTGTTTCCTCAGCTCAGCACTGTAGAGTGGTACCACTGGAGGAGTATAACTGCGGTATAACAGTCTGATCTGCAAGGGCAGAATTTCCACAAAGAGAATCACTGCTTTGTATTGCAGGTCTGGAACTGGTAGTGTTTGTAATGCCTTTCCTTACAACGGTGTGAGTACGACAGTGCGGAGGATGAAGAGTTGTGGAGATGTTCTCTTCTTGGGAAACTCAGTTCTAAATTAATTAATTAATTTACTGTTAAGTCCTTACCTGCTCGAAAGTGCAGTGTCCAAATTATGTGCTGGTCCCTTTGTTACAATGACTACTGCTAGTGCTGCTTTCAGCCTGCAGAAGAAATATGACTGCTTTTATTTGTTTTTTAAAGCTCTTCAGCTCCTTCTCTTGCATGATTCTGATGTTAATGTGTCCATTATATCCATGATGGATTACTGCGTGTCTTCTGAAAGGTGCTTGCAAAACAAGAAAGAATTGGAGTCAAGACAGCTCATCTCACAGATGTGTTATCTTATACATCAAAAGAGCACAGATGAGAATGTACAAGAGACTGTAAAAGCCCTCCATTGGGAGGAGTTAGATAAACACTCACCAGTAACCTGCCTGCGTTAAACCTTGTGCGCAAGTCTGAGATAAAGAGCACTATAAAGGGTGAGCAGCTAGCAGGGCACCAGACTGGTCTGCCCACAACTCTCTGAGAGGTTGCAGGTCAAGTGTGCAGAGGTGCTCCTAGGAGGAATCAGCATGGAACCTGAGGAGTACAGACGGAGAGGTGAGTGATCCTCATGGAAATGGGTCACATTTGCCTCTGAGGAAGAGCTGTTGTAGGGCTGTGGGTGGCACCCAGCAATGAGAGGGGCTGTGGATTGTTTAACTGCCCATGCCCTTGGGGCTTTACATCTGCTGGAGTGGAGATGATGTGTCCCAGTTTGAATTAACAGATTTAGTCAGTGGAAGACTTAGACTTTTTGATCTTACATTTGAATACTGTGGGAAAGCCCCGAAGCCTAAAAATTCTGAATAAACTTGTGTGAAGGGGTTATGCACAATGGCTCTTCCCTGACTGACACACAGCAGTTCTGGAGATGGGAGCAATCTTTGGTCTCAAGGCTGGAGGAGGTTACCTGGTAAATGGAGGTATTGCATTGAGCTGTGTAGCTGTTTTCAGAGGATGCAAAAGGGATTGTGCTATAATAGCAGGGAAGAATGGCACATTAAGAGAACTGCATTTCTGTATGTTTTTGTTTTATCTGTAGGTAAGAAAATCTATCCCATCTGTAATCAGTCTGTATTTGCGTCATGATCTGATTTTAGAAGTACACTTGAACTACTGAGCGATGACAACCTTGTGAATCTGTTCAGTCTCCATGAAGTCTATTTCAGAAGCTGTGTCCCTACGTTATTAGTTGGGACTAATAATATAGACAAGGCATAAAGTTTGAGTAGTTTTCCCTAGAAATTTAGTTCCCTAGAAATCTAGTTTTCGCTAGATTAGCTGGTCACAGAACCAGAGATCATTTCAGGTCTCCTGTTTGCTGCCCAGTATTTCTTCTGATGAAGAACATTTGCTCTGAATAATTGGAAATGTTCCAAAGGTCACACAGCTCCTATGTGTGGGGTGCCATGTGCATGTTCTCTGCTAAACAGGAGCACTAATTCATGAGGCTGGTTCATAATACATTGAATTGAGACTCATACTGTGAAATATGGCTCTATTTTCTTAGATAAGCGAAGTAATGAGTTTATTGTCAGAGTGCAGACTATTATTTTTTTCCACTAGTGGACCATGTAATGTTAAGTGATGATTCAGAGGACTAGTCTGAACCAAATGTTGAGTAGAATCCTGACAGATTGCATGACGTGATAGTATTGCAATTTGCTTTTCTCTCAATCTAAACTCAAAGCATTGGTTTGCTTCTTCCAGGGAAAGACATGGTGGATTACATTTGCCAGTACCTGAGCAATGTGAGAGAGAGACGAGTGACTCCTGATGTACAACCAGGTTACATGAAAGCTCAGTTGCCAGATTCTGCCCCAATGGACCCAGATAGCTGGGACAACATCTTTGGAGATATAGAGAAAATCATTATGCCTGGGGTAAGAAATAAAAATCATTACTAACTGGGGTAAATACCCAAAACCTGGGAATGCACAAGTTCTGCAGGATGTGTTTTTAGATGCATGCTCACATTGGTGACCAGCGTGCAAGCTCTTTCAGGAGTACTGAGGAAGGCTATGTAATTGTGGCATACAGCCAAAAACAAGCTCTTTGATAAAATGAGCAATAGCAACTTGGTTGTAAGGACTCCCCATGTCAGGGTAAATTTTTTGGACTCTGTTGTGCAATGTTGTTCAATTCTTTCCTGTTCACAATCTTTGTCTGCCTGTTAAATTCAGATAAATGCTTTTGATATAATTTGGAATTTATCTAATAACGGCACAATTTTATCATTTGATAATGCTGCACTCCTGTTGATACTGTCTCTGTAGCTTTCTGATAGCAATTCTATAATTGCTCATATTACGCTGTTATGATCCTTTCCCATCATGAAGCAGGCACTGATCACTATATCTTGTGCACAGTTTTCTCACGTTTTCAGAATTGACTTCCAGATAATTTCATTCTAGGTGGTTCATTGGCAAAGTCCACACATGCATGCCTACTTCCCAGCTCTTACTTCTTGGCCTTCGCTGCTTGGAGATATGCTGGCAGATGCAATTAACTGCTTGGGATTCACCTGGGTAAATTACTCTTTTTATTTTGTTATCTTAGAAATTCTTCTCCTGTGTATATTATGGAGATCACAGTCATTCCTTCTGGTTCTATGAGTCAGTATAAATTTTTACTGTAGACCACTGTAAGCTGTTTGTGTATAACTGAAAAATGTCTCTTGTAAAAAATAAGTCATATGTAAAAGCAAATGTTGCCTAGTACTAAGAGTTGAATGAAAAAATACACCACTTAGAAAGGTCTGTTTTCTAATTATTTGCGTATCTCACAGTAAGCATTGTTCCCTGATCGTTTATCTCAGTACTAAGGCTGTCGCACAAGCACTGCAGGCAATAGAGCAGCCAGCACCCCTGACTGCAAGTTGGGCTGGGCTTCATTCCAGTTCTCCTGCTCATTTGGGAAAGCACTCTTTCTATTTTTCTCCTCCTAGAATAGAATGTTTGGTAGCCTGTCCCATAATGTCTGAGTATTTGGTGTCGCACTTAAATACGTGTCTCCATGTTAAGAAAGCAGTAAAGCCCATAAACCTGTAAGGAACTGGGAGGTTACAGTCTCTGTGTACTTGTATCAGATTAGCTCATTGCATACACAGAAGTGTCCATTTCCACGCTCTCTATTTACTTTGTAATTCTGTTTGTTTCGGTTAAGTTTGTAATGTAAACTCTCATAAACCGATTCTTTCATAAGCGGAAAGCTTGACACTGCAAAACAACTTCAATCTTTTGCTGCTCTTTAAACCCCACCAAAAAGATGGATCAGTGACTTTTCTGCTTAGGGACTGTGAGCAGTGGTGGTGAACTGCAACTATGCGTTTTTGCCTCACGTAGTTTGCTGTAATCTCAACGTCGAGGTCTGTGTCAGAGAACTCACCGAACAACAACATCGTTTTTATTAAAATAGCATTGTGCTCTGCTGGGTAGGAGTCATAGTGTTACAGGGCTAGCTGTTTATATATCCAATGTTACAAAGCTTGTAACCTGTGTGTTGCATCAAGGTGAGATTTCTGCCAAGGCAATTAAATGTTAATAGCTATGAATTAAAATGTAGCGTGTGGTGTACTCTCAAAGGCTTAAACTCCTGCTGTGTTTGCTAAGTGAATTTACAGCATCATTCTTGTTTAATTTTCTAGGCCTCCAGTCCCGCCTGTACAGAACTGGAAATGAATGTGATGGACTGGCTGGCTAAAATGCTGGGACTTCCAGATAAATTCCTGCATCACCATCCTGATAGTGTGGGCGGAGGAGTATTACAGGTAAAGGAGATCAGAGTTAGTCCCATCAGCATTTCTGGTTGCACTCAAGTAATTTCCTTCTTGGTGATCATTTTTCTTTGAGGCAAAATCAATGAAGTCCAAATGGAAACAACTCCAATATTGACATTTCTTTCCCAGATTTTAGGTTCGTATTTAGATGATAATGGAATAGGAATTGCTATTGCTTTTATTCCTTAATATGTTATAGACTAGGAGCAGGTATTCTTGTGAACAGACTTAAGGATAAACGAGATAATCAGATTTGGTTGTCTGTTGCTTCACTAAAGTTATTCCTGCGTAACTAAAGACGACGACTTATCACTGTCTTCCCAGCAGTCCTCATCCACATATATTCTTTTTCGTTTATCTCATGCTGACTTTGTGACTCTGAAAGCCCCAAGATCCAAGGCCTGAACCTCACCTTATTTCAAAAGGTCTTAGCCAAGTACTCTCTGGAATCAGTGCTAAGGCTCTGTTTTTACAGAAACAGTTTTCTTTAGACTTGTATTACTTATAGTAGATGCTAAATTTAATCTGTAGAAGAACAAAAGAAAAATGTGACTTATTTGCTCACCTCAGTACCGTACACGAATAATACATGGCAGTGAAAAGATTTTGCTTTGTATTCCTGGCCCAGAGAGCTGCTTGTCAGCTAGTGACTTTCCATTGTGTCTGAGAAAAGCAGTAGGAGAACCAAAAGACCGGGTCGGTAACTGGGCACTTGAATGATTTTGCTCGATCACTGGCAAAATAGCAGTGAAGCAGAAGAATGTTGCAGTAAATGAGCAATGTCTTTGCAGAGCACCGTGAGTGAATCAACCTTGGTTGCGCTCCTGGCAGCACGGAAAAACAAAATTCTGGAGATGAAGCTTTCTGAGCCAGACGCTGACGAGTCCTCACTCAATTCTCGTCTCATTGCTTACGCATCTGATCAAGTAGGTTACAAATTACAAAGAGAATAAATTGGCCTCTGTCTCAGGCAGGCCATCAGATGACTCTGTGATCTTGCATTACTGTACAAAAAGAAAAATACGAGCATGATCAAGTCACTCTAAAGCCCTTTTCTTCAGATGGGGAAATGAAATAGATATGAGATTTTGCAGTGTTCCAGAAGTCTGAAAAGGACTTTCTCAGATGACTGATTTCTGCACTTCTTTCCTGTTTCCTGCAAAACCTTTCTCCAGAAACTTCAGCAGCTATAGCTACTGCTGATCTCATACTACTTCAAGCTCTTGTTTCTTCTCAGCCTCTTTCCATTTGGAGACGGGCTCGCTTGGCCTGCAAGCTTGTTCTTGGAGAAATGCCTACAGAATGATGTGACTCTGCAAACCTGTTCTGTTTTCTGGCTCCTAAGCTGAACAATCACATTCTCCTGTGGAAGACAGCAGCGGGAGTCACACTCATACTGGCTTGCCCTTCATATAACAAAAAGAGCTTTTTCCTGTGAGATGTTTAAATCTGTGTGAGCCCAGAACAAGGCATGTTTCAAGGTTGTCTTACAACAGTGAAAAGAGCAAATGCTGAGACTGATCCATTTCTAGTGAGTCCTTTAAGATTTGGGTTTTGATAAATGACCCTTACAAGATAAATACAGCTATTACTAGATTTTAGAGACCAGTGCCCAAATAAATTTCTTGAAATTACAATGTTGTATTTTTTAGTTGTTCACAATGAACAAACTTTCAGATTTATATTAATCTTGATTACAAGAATTACCTTATCTATGGCTTTATTGCAACAAATGTATTTTATAATGCCATAATTTATCTCTTACTGCTCTGTTTTTTGTTGTTGTTGTTTAAGGCACATTCTTCTGTGGAAAAGGCTGGCTTGATTTCTCTTGTGAAGATGAAATTTCTGCCTGTGGATGAGAACTTTTCCCTTAGAGGTGAAACTTTGAAGAAAGCCATAGCAGAAGACAGAAAGAAAGGCCTAGTGCCCGTCTTTGTATGTTCAGTTCCCTGATTAAGAGTATTAATACAGTGTTGTATTCTTAATGTCAACATAAGAAATATCTTAGATATAGCTTTGCTATGTTAAAATGTTTTCATTGAAGGTGAAAATGTGTAGGAGAATTTACATTTTATTGAAATAAAACATTTTTATTTCATTTTAACTATATTGATAGCTTTTCAAGTTTTTAAGCACTGCATCCATTTATTTAAAAAAAAAGCCATCTGAATAGTCTTATTTCATTCCAGGTTTGTGCAACTTTGGGTACAACTGGTGTCTGTGCTTTTGACAGTCTCTCTGAGCTGGGTCCAATTTGTAAGTGTCATTTATTTATCCCTTTTTAAAAAATAGTTATTTATCCCTTTATTTCTGAGAATTCTGTTGTAGACCCAACTCTACATCAGTCGTCATACGTGATGAAAGTCAGAATTCAGTGTTTTTGTGGTTCTGGTTCCACAGCCTTAAAATAAAACTAGATTTTCTATTTCTTGTCTTGCATTTTATTTTGTCGTCAACCTGTCCACCTCCTGCACAAGCATATGCATGCTTTTAAGAGAGGAAAGTACTAGTTTAATTTAGGAGGTACTTTAATTCATTGTATAACAACAATTTCAATTCCAACAGGTGGTGCTGAGGGACTCTGGCTTCATATTGATGCTGCATATGCAGGAACAGCATTTCTGTGTCCTGAATTTCGATTGTTCTTGGATGGAATTGAGTATGCGGATTCCTTCACTTTTAACCCTTCTAAATGGATGATGGTTCATTTTGACTGCACAGGATTTTGGTGAGTAAAGGCAAAGCAGAAACAACACCAAAAGGATAATAAGAAAATTATTCTTTCCCTGCACATTTTTTTTCTAAACATAGTTCATTCTACAATTGATAGGGTTAAGGATAAATACAAGCTACATCAAACCTTCAGTGTTAACCCTGTCTATCTCCGACATCCCAATTCAGGAGCTGCTGTTGATTTCATGGTAAGTTTTTAATTACGTTTATGTTTTAAATTCCCATAGAATGGTCAAATGTTGACTGAGAAATTCCTCTGAGTTATTTTTCAAGTGGTCTTACTACTTAAAAACGTTAAAGTCATGCAGAGATCATGAGTAGATTAATTAATAAAGCTTTTGGAGATTTATAGAGATTGAAGTACATTTTTTACACAGGCAGGGATCTAGCCTGGCCTTTTTAGTTAGAAGAATCATTTTGGTACCCTCTATTGTTTGCATAATTCCTATTGGTGGCATTTTGAATGATTTTTCTTATATTTCTGCTATGTGATAAAATGGAAAAAGGAATAAGCAATGTAAGCACTATGCTCTGAAACAGCTGTAAAAGGAATTACATTTTCCTCTGATTAAAACGTACTGAGATAGGAGAACTGAAGCATCTCGCTTTAGATCCATCTTAAAGCAGATTTCAATACAGTAAACCAAGAGAACATTCAACCGCCAATTGTTTCTGCTATGATCTCACCCAAGTCCTGAAAAGATGACTGTTTTCTTGAAATCAATGGTGCTTTTCACTAGCAGTGTGTGTAGAGAGTGGAAAGAAATAAATCAATGAGTCTCTCTTGTGGTTAAATAGGACCTTGCATGTTATTGGGTAGCTCCTTAGAAGTAGCTTTTGTCACTCTTTTCCATGCAGTAGGTGATATTTTCTCTGCAGGAATTTTTTCCTGCATGAATTCTTACTATTTACATGGGAAGATGTTCAGGATGGCCTTTAAATATACAAATTACACAAAGTGAAGCGAACACACAATCCTAAATTGTAAATAGACAGATCACATCTCAAGTTAATAACAGTCTTTGACTGCAAACAAGTTGTTAATTGCAATATGCTGGAAATCAACTGAAAATTCTAAGCATATCCATAGATTAACACCTCACTTCTAGATGAAGGGGAATAGACAAAAATTTATTTTTGCAAATAATTGAAAAAGACTTAGACATAGGATTTTCTTGATGGCTCTCTTCTAGGCTTACGTATGTTTCAGTAATGTGAAATTTATTCTGTCAGTAAAGATTTCTGAGTTGAGCACAGGTCTGAAGCAACAGGCCGTGTTCGGTGAGGGGACAGTCCTTCTGTTGCTTCTGCTTTATTGATACGCTCTTGTGTTTTCACAGCACTGGCAAATTCCACTGAGTCGTCGATTTCGTTCTTTGAAGCTGTGGTTTGTGATTCGGTCATTTGGGGTGAAAAAGCTTCAAGCTCATGTTCGGCATGTATGTGCATTAGCAGTGCAAGCATAAGTGTGTTATGTTTCATTTACCAGTAGCTGAGTTTCTGAAATTCAGTCATGCGAAGATGAGTAACAGAAATTCACTATGCGTGCTGATTTTACCCTTCAGTAACATGTAAAGATGTACTGTGTTGACAAAGCATTTCCTGTACCTTTCTTGGAAGCAATGGGCAGTGGAAAGCAACTTGATAAACCAATGCACATCACTGAGTAAGTTTTATAGAGTCTTTCTTTGAACTGAAGTGGTAGCTGTTTAGGAAGCAGGATGTAATGGATGGCTGAACACATTGCTATGAAACTTTACAGGCTTAAGTCTTCGATGGAATGTAAATAAAAGAGATTATATTGTGAATAAATAGTTGCTGCAACAGGACTTTAATCCGGGAAAAGAAGCATTCAAATTTCTAACTTTATTTGAATTCCTATATCTAGCCCAAGTACTCCTGATCACTGTCAAGGATTTGGGCAAATAGAGACAGCATTAACCATTCCTAGTTTTGTTGTCAGTCTTAGCTTTTGCTACCATGCATGAAATGAAATCCTCTTAAAGAGGATTGTAGTTCTTTTTTTAACAACTCAATTTAATGTCTTACAGTGAGTTTGTGATAAACTAGTTATAACTGCTCTTTTTTATTGTTTTTTTTTTTTTTTTTTTCCCCCTAACAATAGGGCACTGAAACAGCCAAATTCTTTGAATCTTTGGTAAGAAGTGATCCACTGTTTGAAATTCCTGCCAAGAGACATCTTGGACTGGTTGTGTTTCGTTTAAAGGTAAAAATTGGGACGTTTGCATGTCCTTTTGGAGTAATTTGACTACAACTGTTTTCTCCATAGGCATTAAGAATGAATAAGCTTTCACATAAGATTTGTAATCCTGAAAATCTTGCAGATATTTGGATGACACTGGAAATTTTAACAGTTGTGTGTTTTTTTTTCCTATCCATATTTAAAACAGGGTCCCAACTGGCTGACAGAAAAACTCCTGAAGGAACTGAGCAGTTCTGGCAGGCTCTTCCTTATTCCAGCAACCGTTCGTGATAAGTTCATCATCCGCTTTACTGTAACATCTCAGTTCACAACCAGGGAAGATATTCTGCAAGACTGGAACATCATTCAACACACTGCAGCCCAAATCATTAGCCAGCATAATGAATTGCATCACGTCAGTTCTGGTGATGAGGCAAAAATCCCTAATCCAATATCTGAGCCTAGTTCTAGTGTCATTAGTCATGCTTCTCAGCTCTATATAGAAGAAGGAAAATACAAAATACCTTCCAGAAAAATAGTAGGTCAGCCCAAAAAGCTAGAAATGAGTCCCAGTACATGTGTGATCAGTCAGCAAGTGGAAGGTCAAGGGGATCTAGATGATTGTTTTCCAGAAGATGTACAAGATGTTACCAAACATAAGTTAACCTCTTTCTTATTCAGTTATTTGTCTGTTGAAGGCAAGAAAAAGACAGCACGTTCGCTTAGCTGCAACAGTGTGCCAGTGACTGATGTTCTTGAGCAATGTAATCCTAAGGCAACAGATACTGACAAGAAGAAGCCTCATGCAAATGCCAGAATTCTTTCCAGGCTGCCTGAAGAGGTGATGATGCTCAAAAAAAGTGCCTTCAAAAAATTAATTAAGTTCTACAGTGTCCCGAGCTTTCCAGAGTGCAGCATTCAGTGTGGTCTTCAGCTGCCTTGTTGCCCCCTGCAAGCCATCGTTTAACAAGTAAAAGAGATTGGTGCTTAAGAGCTGTCTAGGTAGAAAGAGAACCAAAGTTTGCTTATTCATATGCAATACTACATGTGATTTTCTTCAATATGCATATTGTGGTAACAACCTCTGAGAAAATTCCTGTGCTTTTATTGGTGGAAAACTGTGTGTATTTATAGATTAAAGTGTCAAATAAACCTTGTAGACATATAACGTGAAACTTTGGTTTGTAGACTGTGGTAAAGAAAATGCTAACTTCTGCTTTATAGACCACCCTTTGCTGATAATCGTATACTAGAAACATTTTGACAAAGTATGTTGGTCTCAATTGGGTGTTAAAAATTCCATTCTCTTTGCCCTATTTTTTTTTTTTTTCTTAATATCTTGCCTTAAACTCTCTAGATCGTTGTGAGGTTCGGTGTGCGCAGACAATGCCAGCATCCCTTCTGCACTGTGAAAAGAGGATGATGTGACCAGAGATCTTACTATCCATTAGTGCAGTTTTTCAGCTCTTGAGTTTAAAAACAGCAACCCCGCCATTCCATCTGCACTAGTCAGCTAACAGTGCATAGGAGGCTTTATGGAACCGTGTTTCAAGAAAACAAGAATGGATTTGGCCTAAAATTATGTATGTGTGTCTGTCTCCATCTGACTAACTCTGAATTGTCCTAGTGTGTTCTGTTTGCAAAACTAATTGAGGAGGGGCAGTACCTACTTACATACTTTTTATTTAGAGTGAAGAGCAGGACTGGACAGGTCAACAGTCAGAATTAGTCCTCTGGAGATTTGGAGGATGACAGCAGCAATGCAGTGGAGGATGGAGCACCCATGCTGTAGAACAGGCAGCTTAGGAAACAGAAAACTCAAGAAGAAAGGAGCAAAAAGATTTTAGGTAAGAAATTAAAAGGAAAACTAAAATCAGGCTGAGATATATCTAGATAAGTTCTATTAAGTCAATCTGACATTCATGGTTTATTTCAAATACCAATATTTGCTAATATTAAGAATTAGAATTTCCTGGCAAGGTTAGAATAACAGATCCCTTAAAATGCAAATATTATAAAACATGGATTTTTGGACATGCTCACAATCTGAAGTTGTGTTTTTTTTTACTGAATTATAAATGTCCCGAGTTGTGTGTATATACAGGTTTATTTTGTCACCCAGAAAATAGAAGCAATCTTTAACGACTGCTTTATTGAAACCCTCATTCCGTGGTTGTACTTTATGCCACTTAAAAGTTGCTGCAAATTCAGTAGCACTCTGCAAAACCAAATTATAGCTCTGTTTATCAATGTCATCGTATAACTGGAGAAATTAAATTAAATTTTCTAGATTTAAAGAGAATTGTATTAAAAAAAAAAAAAAATCCATACAGTGCAGAAGTTGAAACCTTACTAATAGATATCTGAACCGTCTGCATCCATCAGGTAGTAATTGAACTGTTGAATGTGTGGATCAGTAAAACTGAATGCAAGAAGAACTGGTAGGAGAAGCACTAGTGAAAGACTTATTGCCCTATTTAAATAAGGCAAGAAAACACTAGTGACATTACTTGTGCAGTTTTCAACTTTTAATCAGAAAGTATTAAGGCTTTGATCCATCATTTTTCTGGTACTAAGACTCAGTTTTAAATTTAGTATTTAAATTAAAAGTAAGATTTTCAGACTACTAATAAGGTACATTGTCAAGTTCTTAAGGATTAATATTTCTTGACTGTTGCAGCCTCTGTGTAGACTGCTGACTCTATAGGAAGTCTGTAATGGAAGTCAGTGCTACTAGCTTATCTGTATCTTGTTTTCAGACCAAAGAGCAGTAGAATTTCTTTTCAGAAAAGAGCAAAAAAATGACAGTTGAAGATTGGGCAAGTCTTGTGCTTGATGTGGGTTAGCAAGACAAAGTGCTACCTTGACTGATTAGTTGCTTTATATAACTCAAACATTTAAATGTTGGTTGAATAATTTGGGGTACTAGCAGCTTCGTGTTATTCCACTTGGGTAATATCAGCAAATATACAACCTTTCTTGAAGGAGCAATATTTATTTTAATTAAATACCCTAAGAAATAGCACTAGAGTGACAATCCTGCAATATTTTTCTAACTCAAATTTAGAATCAGTTTAGAACTTGGCTTTGAAAAGTGAGTGTTAACATGCCTGTAAGAATTTCCTCCATTAAATTTGAAGTTTTCCTTTAGTTGAATGCGTGCCGTTCCTACTCTGCCTTCATAACCTGGAGGAATCTGAAGGAATAATGCTATCCAGTAACTTCAGGATAACCTCTGTTTCTTGGGTGGTGACGTTGTTAACAAATGAGTCATTTTAGAAAACAGACCTTCAGTTAGATATCCGAATGATTTCTTCTTCAGGCTTCAGCATGCTAGATGCCAAACTGTTTTCAAAGCCAAGCACTGGAATAGTAGATGGCAGATATTTTGAACAACTTTGGAAAAGCAAGTCTCAGTATTCAGAAGTACCTGCAGCAGTGTTTAACTGTGCATGGGTGTTAATTTACTTCATAATGCAACATGGAAAATCTACTCTTATTTGTTGTGCTGAAAGACCTATCCATGCAGATAGAGGGCAGAAAGGAGTAAGACCCAGTTTATCGCCACATGAACAATTAATTACATGCTGCAGGGTTCAGTACTTAAGATTTTTTACTTCCCTACATACCAAGAGGGCTTCTTCATTCCCCTTCTAGTGACTGAGGCTTGGAACAGAAACTTTTTGTTGTTTTTACAAATTTCTAGGATTTTAGATCATGCAAGTAAATCAGATGTGACTATGCTGCATACCCATGAATGACATTATGGTTATTTCTGTTATGTTTCTGTAAAGCATTTGAGAAGGACAAGAACTAAAGTGCTTGGCTAAAGCAACTGTGTGGAAACATAATATTCTTATACAGAATTTCACATCAGAACCTCACAGCTATTGAGTTTTTCTCTCAAAACGACCATAACTAATTTGAGCCTCCTGCTCAGAAGAGGCTGTAGCAATGCTGTTCTGTTATGCTGCAAAAAGCTTTCTGAAGATGGGATTTCCTATGCAACGTTCTCTCACTCAGTTATGCTTTTGACTTTTGTATGTGGGCTCTGGCATTGGTTCTATAACTCTAGCAGGAAATCATAATCTGTGGACTGGAGAGCTAAAAGTCTCAGGTTAATTGGTCATGAAAATGTCCTAACAGCATTTTGAGGGACTTTTGACCACCTTATTGTTTAGGACCGAATTTTTTGGAAGCATATGAGTTGTCACCCAATAAGTATTTGGTTTACTGGCCGGCTTTTCAGAGTACATTGTTCAACTGAGATATTCGTGGGATGCACCTTTTCCACCCTCCTTCAATTACAAGCCCTCCTAAACATTTTCAGCTCTGTGTAGGTACTGATTTAAGTCACATGCTGGCTATCTTGTCGAGGTGATGTCACATTTCACACACGTTAAGCACAGGCAGTACTTAACGATGCTCAACCTGACAATGGCAACTAGAATTCAACAGGAATTATGTTGGTGTTGCTAGGCGTTTGGGTAGCCTCCAAAATAAAACAATACTTACGAGTTCCTATTATTTTCTCTAATATTCACTGAGCCCTAGCTGCGTATGTCTAGAATGTTCATTCTAGGTACTTTTGATTTAGCACTAATATTTGTTCCCTAAAGACTTCAAGCAAAGTCCATCTAGGAAATAGTCTGTGCTGCACACTGGGCCAAACTAGTTTTGTTCATTAATCCCAAGGGATGTATGTTAGTCCACTGCTAGATACAGCTTTATTTCTTCAAGCATTTCTCATTATCACAGAAGTTTAATAGGTAGTTAACTACCAATTAATATGTCGTTTTGTTTTTATGACTGCAAGGTGGGCAGGCAGCAGTGTGGGTGTGCTGGGCCTTGGCCTGCTATGTCTGCCCATGCCCGCAGACCCTGCAGTCAGGCTGTGTGGTAATGGAAAGACACTCACAGTTTCAGTGGGTGACCTATTAATGAGCTTATGATTTCCCATCTATACTCCCCTCCACAGTATCCTCCTTTCCAGCTTTCATCCTTCTGATGATCCTGATGAAACACAGATACCTTTCTGTGATATTTCCACATTAGTTGACGTTCACCGAACTCCTCCATTTTCCTGCATCAGTGTCTTCCATGGGATGACATCTCAGTATCAGGAGATTTCACTAGGGAACATTTTGGAGAAGTGGTTTTGTTCCCAAATTATGAGGTTATATTATGTTATTTTCAGCAGAAACATCCACTAATGCTGCTGAGCGTGGGTGTGCAGAGGCATCAAGCAAAAATGGCAAGAGAGCAGATTACTACCCATTGGTGAGTTGCTGTTTTTTAACAATAGTAATAAAAATTGTACAAGTGAGTAGTGATTTACAATGTTAGAGAAACTGACTCAGACCTTTCCCCTTAAAGTTGTCAGAATGTTCCTAATATTTGCTGAAGGTATTGTCGGAGCTCCTAAGGAGAAGAGCATTCTATTTTTGGTTGGGAAAGTGGTTAGTGTTAACAACGTATGAATTTTTGTGACTAGCAAGATATGAGGTCCTGTTTCATTCCTACGTCTTTGGTACGTATTATCATGGCATAAGATAGAATGTAAGCTTAAAGGACTTCAGCTGTTTTGAAGCTACTGTTTAGAAATACATATTCTGGAATAAGTACATCTTGATGGAACTTCTTAGAAGGCAGTTTTAGAATAAATGTTAGAAATAACCTGGAAAAGATGTAAATGTTGGCTGATCACTTGAATTATAAAAAGAAGCTCTTGTAGTTGAATAGATTGTTGCCTATGAGAAGTTTTAATATTGTATTTCCTAGGTTGGCTGCGGAAATTAAGGACATTGACTGAAAACAGTATCATGCCAAGTTTTCTAGCTAGGTTAATATAAATCAAGCCACTGCAGTTGAAGTATCATGTTTATTTTACTGTTTAAGTTATTTTTATGTTGTTTATAAAGAACACCTAAGTATTTGAAAACGGAGGTTCCAAAATTAAGTTTCCAAAATCAGTTAATATTTTTAGCAATGTGTCAGTAACCTTTTACTTTTCTTAGTGTCCAAACTTGATTCGAAGCTAAGTTATTGCTTCTAGCCTCTGCCAGTGAGGGAAAGAAAAAATGAAGAGGAGCTAAAATGTGTAGGATGCTACTGAGCTCCTCGGACGCGGGAAGACGCTTCTCCCCTCAGGTGAAGGCATCCGTGGCTTTGCCAAGTTATGCGGTAAGCAAGGGCTTGTTTTATCCACAAGATGTCACTGCAGG